ATTAATTTTTATTTTTTTTTATAAATTTATATAAAAATATAAAAATTGATATTAATTTTTATTTTTAATATAAATTTATAATAAAAAAATTTAATACATTTTTAACTTATATTTTTAAAATACAAAATAAATAAATATGTTTTATTTATTGTTAATTAATTTTGGATTGATGCTCCTATTCTTTTTAATATAATTTAATTATCTCGTTTTATTTCTTTACAATTAGATTAAACCTTTATTTTGGTCCCTCAACTATTGTACAAACCCCTGATTTAGTCCCTCAACTCAAAAATCTATGATTTGATCCCTACTGTTTATCATTTTACCCCAACTTGGTCCCTCCGTTAAATATCCACCTACATGTCCCGTTAACTAATAGGAGTATGGTGACATGTCAAAGTATTAAATACAAGCAGGAAGACAGCATGGAAAAAAAATAATGACATGGCAAAAAATACTTAAAAAATTCTCTTTTTTTCCTCTTCCTCCTTCTTCTTCCTTGTTGGCCTTCTACGAACCCTAAAGACGAAACCTACTATTGCCCCCAACGAAACCTACAATTTCATCCTTTCATTTTGTTTTTCTCTCCCTATCCCTTCTAAAACACTAGATCTGGACATTTTCCCTTCCAATTTCTCTCTTTTGCTGGGTTCGAAAGCTAGGTTCCCTTGAACCTAGAAGGAACCCAATGGCTGCTAGGTCGATGGAACCTAGCAACTGCTTCTTCTTCCTCTTCCTTTCCTTTCACCTTCTACAAACCCAGACATTTTCTAACATCAAATCCAAGCATAACACAAACATAAACCCAGAATCACTCCAAAATAGTCACTGCCCTCTCAGTCTTCCAAAAAACCCAAAAAAATCAATGTATCTTCTCCCAAATTTTTGCAAATACTTTGATTCTTATGGGAGGAAGAAGGGAGAGACATGAAAGAGAAGCTTATTAAACCCAGCATTCTTCAATCAAACCCAATAGTGCTTCCTGGGTTCATTGATCGAACCCAGCAGTGCCTACTAGGTTCTTTGATCCAACGCAACAGCACTTGTTGGGTTCTTTGATCTAACCCAGAACCCCCCAAGGCCAATGAACAAGGATTTGGGGGAAGAAGATGAACAACATAGGATGTTAGAAATGAGAATGAAGGGGTAATGAAAGGAAAATGGAAAGAAATTGATGTGTGGTTGAAAATGAGGATAAAAAAGTAATTTTGATTTTATAATTAATTTTAAATATTTTAAATTTTACTGAAAATTACGTGTCAAGTTTTATATTCCATGTTGTTAATCCTACACATCAAAATATTTTTACATGTCATCCTTTTTCGTCAACTAACAAGACACATCGGTGGATTTTTAATTGAGGAACTAAGTTGGGATCAAAATGATAAATAGTAAGGACCAAATCAGAGATTAAATCAAAGGTTTATACAATAATTGATGAACCAAATGGGGGGTTTAACCTTATAATTATTAAAAAAAATGTATTGAATATAATAATTAATATTTATCTTTTCATTTATTCATGTTATGTATCTCAAAATTACTCACCCCTTCCTCAGATATTTGAACTTCCCCGAACTATCATATGTTATATTGGAATTGACGGAGACGATCACGCCAAAAGCAGCTGCTGGCTCGTACCTAAGGTACACATTCACCATGGTTGCAGGTTTGGGTTGCCGCTATGGCGGTTAGTTTCAGTTACGGTTTACGAAGGGTTACCTCTATATTTTTTCATCTTCTTTTTCTATTTTTCTTCATTTTCCGTTTCATGTTTAATTTGGGCTATTCTGAAGTCCAGCCCAGGTATAAAAAGGTTCT